TGTGACCCAAGTCCAACAACATTACTGTCTTTGCCTCAGATCTAAAGTCTGCATATGAGCGGGAATGTTTTCTCCCGCTCTGTGGGTGGTCTCTTCATTTTAGAGGCCATTTCTTTTGTTGTGCAGAAGCTTTTTAAAATTATGAAATTCCATTTGTCCATCCTTTCTCTTAGTTGTTGAGCTGCTAGGGTTCTATTGAGGAAGTCCTTAGCTGTACCTAATGCTTCCTGAGTATTCATTGCTTTTTCATTTACTAACTTCAGGGTTTCAGACTGATATTAAGGTCCTTTTTTAATTTGGAGTTGATACTACTACAATGTGAAGGCATGGATTGAGTTTCAGTTTTTTGTAGGCGTATAATCACTTTTCACAGCAACATTTAATGAAGAGTCTGTCTTTTCTCCATCATATGTCCTTGGCATCTTTGTCAAAAATAAGGTAAGCATAGCTGTGTAGATTCATATCTGGATCTTTTTTTTTTGTTCCACTGGTCTTCATGTCTGCTTTTATGCCAGTACCATGTTGTTTTTATTGCTATTGCTTTGTACTACAGTTTGAAGTTGAGTATTGTGATACCTCCAGCATTTCTCTTTTCACTGAATATTTTCTTGGCTGTTCACAGTCTCTTATGCATCCTAATGAACTTTAGGGTTGATTTTTCAATGTCTCTGCTGAATGTCATAGGGATTTTGATGGGAATTGCATGAATAATTGGATTGCTTTTGGTAGTATGGCCATTTTTCACTATGTTGATTCTACCAATCCATGAGAATGGGAAATCTCGCTACCTTCTGTATTCTTCTGCAATGTCTTTCTTCAGGGCTTTGTAGTTCTCTTTGTAGAGGTCATTCACATCCTTTGTTAAGTTTACTCCTAGATATTTGATTTTTTTTGAGGCTATTGTGAATTGAATTGTTTCCATGTATTCCTTCTCAGTTTGTTCATTTTTGGTGTATAGAAAAGCTAATAATTTTTGTAGATTGAGTTTGTATCCTGCCACCTTACTATAGCTGTTTATGGTGTCTAAGAGTTTTTGGGTAGAGTTGTTTGGGTCTTTAAAGTATAGGATCTTATCGTGTGCAAATAAGGATATTTTGAGACTTTCTTTACCTATTTGTTTTCTTTTTATTTGCCTAATTGCTCTGGCTACAAATTCCAGTACTATGTTGAATAGGAGTGGGGATAGTGGACACCCTTGTCTCATTCCTGATTTTAGGGGGAATGCTTTCAGTTTTACACTGTTAAGTGTGATGTTGGCTGTAGGTTTGTCATATATAGCCTTTACAATGTTGAGGTACATTCCTTCTATTCCTAGTTTTCTTAGAGCTTTTATCATGAAGTGGTGTTGGATCTTGTCAAAGACTTTTTCTACATCTATTGAGATGGCCAAGAGTTTTTAATCTTTGCTTCTATTGATGTGCTGTATTACTTTTATAGATTTGTGTATGTTGAACCATCCCCGCATCCCTGGGAGGAAGCTGACTTGGTCATGTTTTATGATCTTTCTGATGTGTTGCTGGATTTGGTTTGCCATTATTTTATTGAGGATTTTTGCACTGATGTTCATTAAGGAAATTGGCCTATAGTTCTCCTTTTTAGGGGTGTCAATGTCTGGTTTTGGGATGAGAGTAATATTGGCTTTATAGTATGATTTAGGCAGTGATCCTTCCCTTTCTATTTCATGGAACAGTTTAAGGAGAGTTGGTATTCTTCTTTAAATGTCTGATAGAATTCAGGAGTGAATCCCTCAGATCCTGGGCTTTTCTTTTGTGGAAGGCTCTTGATTGCTGCTACAATTCATTTTTGTGTTACAGATAAATTCAGATGATTAATACCCTCTTGTTTCAGTTTTGAGTGATTGTAAATTTCTAGAAATCTGTCCATTTCTTCAAGATTTTCAAATTTATTAAAGTATAGGCTCTCAAAATAGTCTCTGATGATTTCCTGGATTTCTGTGGTGTTTGCTGTTATTTCCCATTTTGCATTTCTGATTTTACTGATTTGGGTTTTTTCTCTGCTTATTTCAGTCAGGTTTGTCAGAGGTTGTCAATCATACTTATTTTTTAAAAGAAGCAGCTTTTTGTTTCATTGATTGTTTTTATGTTTTTTGTTTCTTTGTATTTCATTGAATTCTGCCCTTATTTTAATTATTTCTTCCCTTCTGCTTGTTATGTGATTTGTTTGTTCTTTATTTCTAGGAGTTTGTGCTGTAGTATTAGGTCATTGCTTTGAAATCTTTCTGTCTTTTTAATATATGTACTCATGGCTATAAACTTTCCTCTCAGGACTGCCTTTGCTGTGTCCCATAGATTCTGGTAGGTTGTGTTTCTGTTTTCATTAACTTCCAGGAACCTTTTAATTTCCTCTTTTATTTCATCGATGACCCATTCATCACTGAGCAATGTGTTGTTCAGTTTCCAATTGTTTGCAAATAGTTGATTTTTAGTTTTAATGCATTGTGGTCAGAGAGAATGAATGGGATTATTTCTATTTTCTTATATTTGCTGATGCTTGCTTTTGCCCTAAGATATGATCAGTTTTGGAGAAGATTCCATGGGCTGCTGAGAAGAATGTGTATTGTGCAACCTTTGGATGAAATATTCTGTAGACATCAGCTAGGTCCTTTTGATCTGTGGTGTGATTTACTTTTAGAATTTCCTTACTGATTTTTTGTTTGGATGACCTATTTACTGGTGACAGGGGAGTATTGAGGTCTCCCACTATCACTGTATTGGAGTTTATATATGTTTTTAGGTACTTCAAACTAAGTTTGGTGAAATTGGGTGCATATAGATTGATAATTGTTATTTCCTTTTGGTGTATTTCCCATTTTATTAGTATGTGAGTCCTTCTTTATTGCACTTGATCAATGAAGGTTTGAAGTCTACTTTGTCCAAGATAAGTATTGCTACCCCTGCTTGTTTTCAGAGACCGTTGGCTTGGTAATCTTCTTCCAGCCTTTCAATTTCAGCCAGTGCTTATTTCCGTTCATGAGGTGGGTCTCCTGTAGGCAAAAGATTGTTGGATCATTCTTTTTAATCCAGTTTGCCAATCGTTGTGTTTTGATGGGGGAATTTAGTTCATTAACATTTAGTGTTAGTATTGATAAGCACATGGTGATTCCTGCCATGTAGTTGTCTTTGTTGATTAAGGGTTTGATTATGTGTAGCTGAATCAATGTTACTCTTTACTTTCTTGCCTTTTCTTCTCTTGTGGTTTTGTATTGCCTGCACTTTCATGGTTATGTTTGCTTTCATTGTCTATGTGCAGAATTCTTTGGAGAATCTTTTGTATTTGTGGCTTGGTGGTCATATATTGTTTTAGTTTCTGTGTTTCATGGAAGACTTTTATAGTTCCATCTATTTTGAATGATAGTACAAAATCCTAGTATCCTAGGATTGAAGCATTTTCATTCAGTGCTTGGAAAATCTCACCCCATACTCTTCTTGCTTTTACTGTTTCTGTTGGGAAGTCTGCTGTGATTTTGATGGGTTTACCTTTGTATGTTATTTGTTTTTTCTCTCTTACAGCCTTGAATATTCTTTCGCTAGTGTCTGTACTTGTTTTAATGATATTACATTGTGTGGTAGTTCTATTTTGATTATGTCTGTTCGGTGTTCTGTTGGCCTCCTGTACTTGAATGGGAATCGTTTTCTCTGTATTTGGGTAATTTTCTGTTATTATGTTGAACATATTGCACATTCCTTTTGCTTGCACTTCCTCTCCTTCTTAAATGCCCATGATCCTCAGGTTTGGTCTTTTGATGGAGTCAGTGAGTTCTTGCATTTTCTTGAGTTATTATCTGATAGTTCTTCAGTTTTTCCTTTAAATGCCATTTCATCTTCAATTTCTGAAATTCCATCTTCTGTTTGTTCTATTCTGCTGGAATGGCATTCCATTTTGTTTTGTATTTCTGTTTCATTCTTTTTTCTGAGGTTTTCCATATTGTGGGTTACTTCTTCTTTAATATTGTCAATTATTTGCCATTAATTCATTTATCTCTCCTTTTATGGTGATCTTTGTTTCAGTTTGGTATTTGTTTAGGGATCCTATGATTTCATTTATTTGTTTCTGTGTTTTCCCATATTCTTTAGTTTTGTTGTCTTGGAATTTCTTGAGTGTCTTAAGTACATTTTGGTTGACCATGTCTAGTAGCATCTCTATGAAATTCACTTTAATTACACATAGCATATCTTCTTTCAGGGTGTTCTTGTGGTCTTTGTTGTGTTTCTTGGTATATTTTATCTTTCTTTTGTTGGAGTTTGGATCTGGGTATCTGTTCTCTTCATTTTGCCCTAAATCTTGTACTAGTTTATTTTTGGGGTAGAATGGTTTTCATCACTTTTTCTTCTTCCCATGTTTCTAGGTATCATTTCTGTTCCTGGACTATGTGCAATTTAGTATTAGCTGAGTTACAATATTAATATTAATAAAATCATTATTAGAAGGATAAAAAAGAGAAAAAAAAGGAAAGATAAAAGAAATAGAAAAGAGAGGAAAAAATGAAAAAAAATGGGAGAGATGGTGGTTGATTAAACAGCAAACCAGGCTGCCAAACACTTAAAGAAGGGAGAAAAAGAAAAAGAAATAATAATCACCAGTTTTGGAGCAGTAGATTTTCAGGCTTAGTTGTTATTACTCCTTTAGTGTTCAGTCCAGTCTGTGTGTTTCTCTTAGGCATGCTTGGCCCCTTCTAGTGGTGGCCTGAGTGGGAGACTGGTGGAGTGGTTAACTGGAAAGCCTGTAGAGCTGGGACCATCTCCACTAGAGAGGCAGTATTCTTGGTGGGCTGGAGGATGCAGCTGTCTCACGCCAGTCTTGTGCCTGTCCCAGTGGGGCAGGGCTCCAGTCGTTCCACACAGAGCTGGAGCCAGGCAGGGCCTGATGGGTAGGGAGTCAGGTGTGGCACTCTGATCATCCCATCCATAGTTGGGGCTCAGCAGGGCCTGAAGGACCATGGGCACAGGGGCTGGGTGTCCTGGCAAGCTGTGGGACCAGCTCTAGGCTGCGGTCTTGCACGACTTGGGGGTGGGGTTCCTGGTGGTCATGGATCTGGTGGTGTGGCTGAGGGTCGGGTATCCTGACATGGTGTCAATCTGATTCAGGGCTGAAGGCTGGCACAGCTTGAGGGCAGGTATCCCAGTGAAGGGTAGATCTGGTATGACCTTGAGAGGTGGGGATCCCACTGTGCATGGGTCCAGCATGGGACTGTGGCCTGGTATAGCCTGAGGTGAGGAGAGCCAGCAGAATGGAGCAGAAGCTCTACAGGCCTGTGGGGTGGGGATTTGGCAGGACGGCTATTTTTTCATTGGATAGTGGTGTGGAGAAACCTTCCATGATCTAAGAGTTTAGAGTGTCATATTTTTGGCTCTCCCTGGTGCTTTACCTCAGTCAGTCATGTCTCCAGCTTCTCAGCAAGGTCTCTTGTTCAGGAGCTCTTGAGGTTTGTAGCTCTCTCTCTGTCACCATCTTGGATCTTTTAAAAGCTGAAGATTTCTGTAAGTTGATTTTGTATCCTACCACTTTGCTGTAGCTCTTTAAGGTTCCTAGGAGCTTTGGGTAGATTTTTTGGGTCTTCTTGATAAAGGATCACATCCTCAGCAAGTAGGGATATTATACAGTTTCTTTACCTACTTCTTTTCCTTTTATTTTTAATTATTGCCTAATTGATCTGGCTAGGAATTCCAGGACTGTGTTGAATAGGATTAGGGATAGTGGGCACTCTTGTGTCATTCTTGATTTAGGAGAAATGGCTTCAGTTTTTGTCCATTAAGTAGGATGCTGGCTATAGGTTTGTCAAATATAGCCTTTACAATGTTGAGATACATTCCTTTTATTCATATTTTTCTTAAAGCTTTTATCATGAAGTAGTTTTGGATCTTATCAAAGGTTTTTTTTGTATCTATTGAGATGATCAAGTGATTTTTGTCTTTGCTTCTATTAATGTGCTGTGATACATTTATGGATTTATGTATGTTGAACCACCCTTACATCCCTGGGATGAAGCTGACCTGGTCATGGTGAATGATCTTTCTGATGTGTAGTTGGATTTGGTTTGCCATTATTCTCTTGAGTATTTTTGCATCAGTGTTCATTATGGAGACTGGCCTGCAGGTCTCCTTTTTGGTGGTGTCTTTGTTTGGTTTTGGGATGAGTGCAATACTGGCTTCATAAAATGATTTAGGCAGTGTTACTTCCCTTTCTATTTCATGGAAAAGTTTAAGGATAGTTGGTATTAGTGCTTCTTTAAGGAACTGACAGAATTCAGCTGAGAATCCATCAGGTCCTGGACTTCTCTTCTTTGGGAGATTCTATTGCTGCTTCAATTTCATTTTGTGTTATAGATCTATTCAGGGGATTTATGTCCTCTTGGTTCAATTATGGGTGGTTACAAGTATCTAGAAATTTGTTCATTTCTTCAAGATTTTCAAATGTATTGGAATATGGGTTCTCAAATAGTCTCTGATGATTCCCTGGATTTCCATGGTGTTTGTTGTTATCTCCCATGTTGCATTTCTGATTTTGCTGACTTGGGTTTTTTCTCTCTTCATTTTAGTCAGGTTTGCCAGGTGTCTGTCAATCTTGTTAATTTTTTCAAAGAACTTTCTTTTTGTTTCATTGATTCTTTGTATTTTTGTTGTTGCTGTTTCTATTTCATCAATTTCTTGCTTTATTTTTATTATTTCTCTCTTTCTGCTTGTTTTAGGTTTTACTTGTTCTTGTTTTTCTAGGAGTTTGAGATGTAACATTAGGTCATTGATTTGAGATCTTTCTGTCTTTTTAATGTATGTACTCATGGCTACAAACTTTCCTCTTAGGACCGCCTTTGCAGTGTCCTATATTTCTGGTAGGTAGTGTTTTCATTTTCATTTACTTCCATGAACCTCTTAATTTCTTTCTCCTGTGTGCTTTCAGCAACTCCACCCCTCTGGTGTGTGTTAGTTTTGAATTTCTTGTTTATTGTTCAATTTGTTTTTATGAGAGGGGAGAGTGTCAGTCTGCCCAGTGGGCTATGCTGGTTTACTCCAGCAGTGTCTGTGGGAATACCACATGATGTTAGGGACTCACCTGTTTGGTCTGCCGAATGTCTCCCAAGCAGGTTTGCAGCTGCCATGTGTTGGTGGTTTCAGGTCTCCTGTTTTCTCAGTGTAGTGTAGCATGGAGAAGCTTTCCATGGAGTATGGGTTCAGGATGTCAAAATTTCAATTCTCCTTTGTGCTTTATTTCTGCCAACTGTGGCTTCAGTGTCTCAGAAAGGTTTTGGACTCACAGAGCAAGAGCTGTCTGCTCTGGCACCCTAGTCACCATCCAGGACAGGTTCTGAATTCAACTCAACATGAAAGGAGCAAATAAAACAATTCTATGCCAATCTTTCCAGAAATGGAAGGGAATGAAGTATATACTAGACTCATTCCTCAAGACCACACAATAATGATACCAAAAACTTCAGAATATTTCTCAAGACATACATGGACAAATACTAGACAATGCTTAGCAATGTGAGTCTAGCAATTACATAGGAGAATATATCACAAATTATTGGGATATATTCTAGGAAAACTAGAATGGTTTGATAGTGAAATAGCCATCACTATAGTATCAAATGTTAATGATAAGCTAAAAATGAGAATACAACTCATCATTGTGGATGCAGAAAAACAATTTCACAAAAATCTACCATATCTGCTGTTTATGGCCCTACCTCCCTTTACAGTAAGGACAGGTATAAAGGACATGGTGACTTGGAGTCACCATGGCTCCCAGAAATGAATGAGAGGTAGTTGGTAAACTCTAAATACCTGAATAGATTTAAATTATTTCATTGAAGATAGCACAGTTTGTTCATTTACCTTAAATTTTGATTAGCATGTATGAATTATACATATTAAAGGAATGCAGTATAGTATTTCAGTACATGCATGCAGCATCACGCAGTGGCTGAAATAAGGTAGTCATCATTTGCCTTTCATCATGCCTTGATGTTTGAAGACTTTGGGCTGCTGTTCTCTTGATCTTTATTTTAAATGTATGTGTACATATAGATGCACTTGTATGTATCTATCAATCTACTTATCTATATCAATTTTTGTGACTTACTACTCACCTCACTGTGCATGGAGCACCAGATCTCATTGCTTATATCTAACTGTGTTTGGCAATAGCAATATAGCTCTTAAAGATGAAAATTCATAAAGAAATAAAGGAAATCCTTCAAACTTTCTCAGATTTTTGTTGGGAAGATAAGACTTTGAGAATGGAAACTCCACAATGTCTGTTATTTTGAAAGCACACTTGAATTGCTGGCATATGTCCTTAATATTGTGAGCCACCTGTGCAGACCTTAGTCAAGAATTCAGAGCAGCAAGGGAAAAAATCCATATAGTTTCAAAAATTTTCTGGTTTAAAGAATAACATAAAAGCATATGCATTAGTATAATAATAAATATAAATCTGAATAAAGGCAACTCTGAGCTCATCAAATACATGGAAATATTCTCTAAACATAAAAAATTGTATATAATTAAAATCAAATACCGATGACATTTAAAATAAATGTGATAATTTCTTATCAAATTAAGATACACATTCATAAAATTTTTGAGGTGTAAATAAGTTTTTTTTAAGAGAAGGTTTAGGTAGCCTAAGTTGGTCTGTAACTCTTGATCCTCTTGCCTAGTTCTCCTGAGTACTGGGTTTACAAGGCATGTGCCACCATGCCTGGCCTTGTAAATAATTTTAAAGCAATGAAATTTCAATTTATTTTATAGATAGAAAAGGCAAGTGAAATGAATAAAATATTTTAAGCAATATTGATTTCAACTAAAAACATTTTGGCCACCCAGTGGATAACAATATATCTGTTTACAGCATTAAATGACAATAAGGATTTTAGAACTTGTTAAGTTAGAAATTCTGTGTGTTAAGGTTCAAAAGTAATCAAAGTAATATGATAAGAATGTCACCTTATGGCCCGCCTCCCCCAAACCATAATTTATCATTAGCAAAAAATCAGACAAAAATGTCAAAGTTTCTCAAATTTGAATTGTTGCTTCTCACAAGACACAAGGCAATGTAAATGTAAGCCACAAAAACATTATGTGTGTTTGTGTGTGTGTGTGATGTTGGATCTATTGTTTTAATTGTTTATTAAAAAAATTCAAACAAGTACTTTTTTCAATTTAGTTTTTTTATTTTAATTTGTAAGATAAAATAGATACATATCCACACATTAATTTGATGAGGAATTTCTATCCTTTGAAGTAATAAATTAAAAAATATTAATCCCTGTCAGTTTATAAAAACCAACTCTCCCATTGATTATTAATGTTAAAAATCTGTTTTACTAGAATTAGAGAAATACAAATTTAAATAATGATTTACATTTTCAAAGGAATAATATTATTCTGAAAGGTATAAAAGTGAAAATTATTACTTTTACCATGCATTTATTTGCTCAATATAGCATTTGAAAGCAAGAATTGCATTTACTTTAGTTATTGCTATATTCCAAGAGTGCTCCCCATAGAAAGGCTTCAACTAATAATACAACAAGTCAGCTAATGAATAAAAGGGCTCATGATGTCTATTCTAAATTAATATAGAAGAGAGATGGTAAGTGGTTTTGTGGAGTCATGTAGGAATAGAGTGCTATATTGCTGGCACACTGGTTCATGTCTACAATCATAGATACTGGAGAGGCTGGGGAGGGATTGTAGTTCTAGGCCAACTCTGGCAAGAAATGTTTGTTAGACTCCATCTCAACAGAACGTCTAAAATAGGAGGGTCATAGTCCAGGTTAACCTGTGCAAAAAGCAAGATAGTATTTCCAAGATAAACAAAGCAAAAGGGTTAAAGTGAGGCTCAGGTTGCAGAGCACCTTAACTAGCATAAGGCCATGAATTCAAACCCCAGGAGCATGCCCTTACAAAGAAGATTAATGTGTAGATTCAGCTTCAGAAATTTTGAGCAGATCAAGGAAAGAATGGAAAAACAACAGAAGGAAAACATTGAGGACAAGCAAAGAACTTCAGCTACCCAAGTCAGAAAATGAAAATAATTGTTTTCATCATGTGATAATTCAAGTGCTGTGGTTACAAACATGAGCAAGATGCAGTTCATTTAAATGATGCTCAGCTGCAAAACTCTACAATAGAAATGTTCTTATTGGAAAATATTCTGCTCACAAGTGCTGGATGGATTAGATGTGAAAAGTAAAACTGATAAT